TGCCCATGGGGACATCTCGGTATTTCGGGCGCATTCCGAATATACCGCCACCCACGGCCTAGGAGAATCCATGTCAGCCCATGTCATGACACGCCCATTCTCTTCGGCGACGGGGTGAAACGATGCCCGTGGGGACATCTCGGTATACAATGCGCTTTCCCAATATACCGCCACCCCAAGGCCTCGAAGAATCCATGTCATCCCACGCATGACACGCCCATTCTCCGCGACCACACAGCAATTTTTGTCCGAGAACTGCTGAAAAAACTCAAAAACTGCGACAAAACCGATCGCCGGAAAAGTCGCCGGAAAAATTTTCCGGCGATAATTCCGGCGGTCGGACGGTCGGACAGTCTGTCGGTCATGCCACCCGATTATATCCCTCGATCGCTACCCACGTCCGGAACCGAGTAGGGGGTACCCTCGGTCTGCCCAGACTCCACCAACACCCACCCCCCTATATAGCTTTTTGTCCTTTTCTGGGTCTGGCACCAGTGGAGATGCAAATGTCTGAGGAGTCACTGGTGCCAAAAAAAAAAAATACTTGGAATTTTGTTCTGATTTTTTGCATGCTTCATAAGGATAGTAAATCCTATTTTCTGGTAAATTTTCGTAATTTTAGGAGACCTCTAGCTTGGTCTTTCGAGCTAAACCAACATCGGATGATCATGGCCTAGCCCGGGCTCCGTGGGCACATTTGATGCAAGCTTGACATCCTACACTCTTTATTGATGTATTTTAGACTTTCGATCGTAAAAAAATGCATCCCGTACGATGATTTTTAAAAGTTGGTTCGGCACATACTATTTCCTCGGCCATACGGACGTCCGGATGCGTACTGATCGACGATCCATCGTACTGATCGAATTTTTTTCGAGGATTTCACGAACGTTACTCTTTATTGATGCATTTTAAGACTTTCGATCGTAAAAAAATTCATCCCGTACGATGATTTTCAAAAGTTGATTCGGGACTTACTTTTTCCTCGGCCATCCGGACGTCCGGATGCGTACTGATCGACGATCCGTCGTACTGATCGATTTTTTATCGAGTATTTCTCGAACGTTACTCTTTATTGATGCATTTTAAGACTTTCGATCGTAAAAAACTTCATCCCGTACGATGATTTTCAAAACTTGGTTCGGGACTTAGTATTTCCTCGGCCATCCGGACGTCCGGATGCGTACTGATCGACGATCCGTCGTACTGATCGATTTTTTATCGAGTATTTCTCGAACGTTACTCTTTATTGATGCATTTTAAGACTTTCGATCGTAAAAAATCCCGTACGATGATTTTCAAAACTTGGTTCGGGACTTAGTATTTCCTCGGCCAACCGGACGTCCGGATGCGTACTGATCGACGATCCATCGTACTGATCGAATTTTTTTCGAGGATTTCACGAACGTCACTCTTTATTGATGCATTTTACGACTTTCGATCGTAAAAAACTTCATCCCGTACGATGATTTTCAAAAGTTGATTCGGGACTTACTTTTTCCTCGGCCATCCGGACGTCCGGATGCGTACTGATCGACGATCCGTCGAACTGATCGATTTTTTATCGAGTATTTCTCGAACGTTACTCTTTATTGATGCATTTTAAGACTTTCGATCGTAAAAAACTTCATCCCGTACGATGATTTTCAAAACTTGGTTCGGGACTTAGTATTTCCTCGGCCATCCGGACGTCCGGATGCGTACTGATCGACGATCCGTCGTACTGATCGATTTTTTATCGAGTATTTCTCGAACGTTACTCTTTATTGATGCATTTTAAGACTTTCGATCGTAAAAAACTTCATCCCGTACGATGATTTTCAAAAGTTGATTCGGGACTTACTTTTTCCTCGGCCATCCGGACGTCCGGATGCGTACTGATCGACGATCCGTCGTACTGATCGATTTTTTATCGAGTATTTCTCGAACGTTACTCTTTATTGATGCATTTTAAGACTTTCGATCGTAAAAAACTTCATCCCGTACGATGATTTTAAAAAGTTGATTCGGGACTTACTTTTTCCTCGGCCATCCGGACGTCCGGATGCGTACTGATCGATGATCCGTCGTACTGATCGATTTTTTATCGAGTATTTCTCAAACGTTACTCTTTATTGATGCATTTTAAGACTTTCGATCGTAAAAAACTTCATCTCGTACGATGATTTTCAAAAGTTGATTCGGGACTTACTTTTTCCTCGGCCATCCGGACGTCCGGATGCGTACTGATCGATGATCCGTCGTACTGATCGATTTTTTATCGAGTATTTCTCAAACGTTACTCTTTATTGATGCATTTTAAGACTTTCGATCGTAAAAAACTTCATCCCGTACGATGATTTTCAAAACTTGGTTCGGGACTTAGTATTTCCTCGGCCATCCGGACGTCCGGATGCGTACTGATCGATGATCCGTCGTACTGATCGATTTTTTATCGAGTATTTCTCAAACGTTACTCTTTATTGATGCATTTTAAGACTTTCGATCGTAAAAAACTTCA